TTTAGTTTTAGGTTAGTTGTAGTACGTTAGTATAGTATACGTCACGTACTACGTACGTACGTGACTACGTACACTACACTCGACGCGACANACTATATACTATATATATATATATATATATATATATATATATATATATATATATATATATATATATGTCCATCCACTATTAATATGGTATGGCCTTATATAAAGCAATCAATAATTATTATACATACTTAGAACTATAATAGAGTCAGGATGCCACTTTCTCCTTAAGGTGATAACTACATGCATGAAAGGGTACACCTCAATGTATAAAATGAAACACATTTAACTGTGTTATGAGACACTCGAACACAATATTATGGTTAATGGGAGGAAAATCAATGTTTGGGCCAAAAACATGCTTCCAATTTTTTACCTTATATATTGGGCCGAAATATTCTGAAGTCCAAAATGGTCCATGAGAATTGTAGAGCAAATGAGGTTTCTTTCTTTTTCTACTCTTTTGAGAAATTTTCATGAGGATAAATTGCCCTTTTTCGACATCTTTTTTATATTTCATTACAAGAGGAATGGAACCCAACTATGAAAAGCATTGTTAAGTGGAAAATATGAAGAAAAAAAATGAAAAAGAATAATTTCCAATTTTTTCGATTCAGGAGCGGAACTCATAAAAAAGAGAAGAAAAATGAACAAATAAAGGAAAATATTTGTATTAAAGCTTACCAGTAGAGCAACATGTCTAAACTGATGTCGTCTTCTTCAATGAGGCACACCATTTCCGCCACTGAAAATTTCCCGCTCGTTATAGTTCCTGTCTTATCGAAAGCTACAATTCGGACTCTGGCGAGGGTCTCAAGAAAGTCTCCGCCCTTCACTAGTACCCCTTCGGACGCTGTCCTCGACAAGGCACAAGCAGTGGCAATCGGGGTTGAGAGGACAAGTGCACAAGGACACGCACATATAAGCACAACTAAAGACATATATAAATGGCTGTGCCAATTCTCCTTTCTCATTATGGTTGGGATTATTGCCATCCCTGCAGCAATTATCAGTACACCTGCCAATTTAAGAAAAAGAACAGGTCAGCTGGTTGATTTTGTTGCCTTTTCTAATAGCATGTAGGAACATTTGGAGCATCCCAGGATATCTGCATAAATGGTGCAAAAGACGCGGAATATGCCCCTCTTCTTCAAAAGACAAGTTTCAAAATTTCCTTACTTGGAGTATAATATCGTGCAAACACCTCCACAATCCGCTGCGTTCTGGAGGTGCTGTGTTGAGCCGCCTCTACAAGTCTTACCATCCTCGCCACCGTTGAATCCTCAGCAAGGGCCACCGTTTTTATGGTCATATAACCTACACAAATATACTACTGTTCTTCACAAACAAAAGTGGACAAAGTTAATTCATCCAATTCAAACAAATCTCCTATGCTACTAACATATAAAACCCTTTAAACTTTTGTGGAAAACTCGATAATTGTCTAAAGAGACAACCATCCAACTTTAGTTTCTTTTCTGCAATCATTGCTTCAAGTTACATAGAGAAGATGAATTTCTTTCATAGATTTCATAAGGTTGAATCATACCCAAAACAAAAACATTTTTAAATTTTAGGGAAAATTTGCAGAGTTTCACTATGTCTGAAGGAATTCCTTTCTATCTTAATTTGCATTGGAATAATATGCACATTCACAAGGTCTGGGAACGCATTTTCAATGTGAAATAGAGATAGATACATTTTTCACAATTACATGAGAGAGAGAGAGAGAGAGAGAGAGAGATGCTAAGGTGTGGATGTACCATTTAAGTTCAGAGTACCCGCCCAAACCGCAGATTGAGGCTCTTTTGTAACTGGTAAGGGCTCTCCAGTAAGGCTCTTCTCGTCAACCTCACTTCTTCCCTCGACCACGATTCCATCTATTGGAACCATCTCCCCGGCTTTCACTGCAAGAATAGTGTTGAGTGGCACTTCTCTTGTATCAACAATTTCACCCGTTTCGGCCAACATAGCCTTCTGAGGTGCCATATTCATCAGAGCTGACATTGTTATTTGAGCCTGGCAAAAGAATCCCATATTTACTAAATTTAAAAATACTCTTAACAGGCAGTTGTGTGTGTCTAGTGTCTATTTTGATGTTGTGACTAACTTATAAGCAATGGAAGGAAAACATCTTCTCTGAAGCTATAGAACGGTATCTTTCCATACAAGTGGGGCCGATATTCTGTAACTATTAGCCGCATATTAAAAACTTCATGCTATGAAGGCCATGTATAAAGTTGTTGTATGAAGGCCATGTAGAAAGTTGCCTTATGAGCACTTTATACAATATTCAAATGGATCCATAGGACATACTGCGTGAGAGCACTTAACTTTCCTATAATACTTCCACAACCCAAACAGTCAGAAGTCGAAAACAGAGTCTTTCCTTTGCTCAAAGTCTGCAAAATTTGGCAAATTTCTGGAGGACCCCAGCCATCCTATATTAGCACCAGATGTTTGGGGTCATGTGCAACAAGTACAATAGAAATTTACATTCACTTTATCATGTACAAACCAATAAGACCTAGCATTTTGGTATAAGAAGGCCACAATTACCCTTATAGCCATTAGATGCGAAATCAAATTATTGAGGGTGTGTGATTGATTGTAAGCAAAGTCCACAAAAACTTCTTTTGAAACTTTGTAACACACGCTTAGCTGCCTGATTTCACATCTGACGGCTACGAGTGATTTTAACTTTCTTGTTTCAAAGGTAAACAGTCTCATGCTATAAGATCCATATATATAATTTGGGGATAAAGAGACCACCCTAAGGTTTTGATCAAATACCATCGTCTTCTTTCCTGTAATGCATGACCCTATCTTAGAATAGATGCCCCCAATATATGACCCTAACCCCCCAAAAAGCAGTTGGACATACACTTTGGCGGTCCAACCTAAGAACTAGGGGGACCAAATTGTTTTGCTCTTGTGTGTGTATGTGTTTGTATAGTTAAGGGTGCCAGGGGGCAATTGATGATCTTGATACTTCGCCAACACCACCATTCTATCTTTCAAATAAAGCTAGTTTGAAATATGCCATATTTCATGAGTGCCTTATCTCAAGCAATGAAAACATGGTACTATAAATTTTCGTAATTTTTCATTTAATTATTCTTGTTTTTAATTAAAAATGTAACAGAGTATTTGAAACTCTGGTATTCCATAGGTACTTTTTAAACAAGCAATGATATTTGTATTTCACAGTTGGTCATGTCTTTTCACAAACAAAATGAAATATTTATGTTTTTTAAAAGAAACAGAATGAAGAACTTACTAGCAGTGGATAATTGACCTCACAAAATACGTGTTTTAACAGGCACTTATATGGCAATTATTTAGAAGGCTCCCACAAAATAAAGGTATTCCAAAACCTTTTAATTTGCTTGAATCTAATGCTTTAAAAGAAAATATCAATATCGTCAATTGCTCCTCTAGCGCCCTTTGCCATGGTCATGTAGGAATTGGATATCCAGTTCCAAAACATTTGAATCCTGATATATCCAACCTGCTAAAACAAAAACTCGTGGGATTTTCTCTTAAAATGTTATGACAAAATAAACAAACATAAATAAACATAGCAGAGTTTAGACCTTCTGACTAGTCATGGATTCCAGCCATTCTGCTAATGCAAACAAAAATACAATGCATCCCGCTTCCTCGTAATCTTTTAAAGCAATTGTTCCTGCCACTGCCAAAAATGGGAGATTTGTAATGAATAGGGAATCACAAAAAATACCTTGCTTTCAAGTGGGATAAAAAGAAGTTCCTTTTGAAGAATTATTTGAAGTAAACTTGGAAAAAACAGAAGTAACTTGAGTAACTTAATTATAGAAATGCATCTCTACAAATAATTGCAAATCTTGTAATG